TACTGCTACTGCTACTGCTACTGCTACTGCTACTGCTGCTGCTGCTGCTGCACCTGCTCCTGCTACTGCTACTGCTACTGCTGCTGCTACTGCTACTGCTACTGCTACTGCTACTTTGCTACTGCTACTGCTACTGCGACGATGACGACGACGACGATTACTGCTACTGCTATTGCTACTGCTACTACTCGACATTGTGCGCGGCAGGGCGCTTGTTGAAGATGGAGTACCGCAAGTTCCGCGGCAAGCGGCCAGCTGTGCCGACGGTGGACACTTCTGCCACCACGATGGGATAAAAAAGCGAAGCATTGCTTTATGACCTCGTTAAACTGTGGCATAATCGACATCACAAGCCCGTCTGTATTGATAAGGCTCATTGCTTGGGACACATCTTCAGGGGCCTCACTTATGACATGGTTCTGCAGACGCTAGTGCGTGAGTTTACGTAGAGGTTCTTGGAAGCTGATCTGTCCACAGCGGCACTTGCAAGCCATATTGACACCAAACACCGTCGTTCGACCCACGAAGCTCCGAGCCGCAGTCCATGAACCAGAGACATTCCCCGCTGCAGCAGACGCGGCGCACATCATCGGACATCTATCCCGAAACTCCTGAAGGTCCTGAAACAAGAGATAACAAGAGTCTAAATCCTTGGCACAGAAAGCCACAGAAGGAGTTCTGAAGATCTGAGCCTATGCGCAAGGCTTGATATTTGCCCCGTAAACCACGGCTCAGAAATTCTGCGGCATGGAAAAGCGATCTTTCCCCTCAGACTGAGGCCCGGGCCTCCATGGCCTTCAATGCAGCGACGCAGGAGGCGATCTCGGGTTTCTGGGTTCAGAGGGGATTCAGGGTTTCCAGCTTGCGGCTTCGAGTCGTTGTCTCCTGAGGCTTGAGGGCCCGGCAGAGGGTCCCGTGATGAAGGTTGACGTGCCAGCTTGGGTTGATTAAGTTGGGGCTCATCGGTTTTAGGGGAGGAGAATACTAGGTGCGCAAACGGTTTCGAACCGTTTTTCTGAGAAGTCTCGGTCAATGTAGGGGAAACCCTCAAAGGAATCCCTGTTGGAGTAGGGGCCGATCGAAGATGCTGCCCTCAACCGGCGTGCGTCTACTGCTTCACTCACCCGGAGAAGATCACACGGGATTGTAAACAGTCACCGGGCCCCTAACCCTCTAAACTGTAAACCCTTCCCACGTACATTGACAAACCCTGAACACGCAACCCGGAACCCCCTAAACAGCCGAGACGTCAGGCCGGGCCCTCCGCAGCGCCGGGCAGCCAGAAACCCTGAGCTTTTGCTGCCTGCAGATGAAAAATGACTTCTTGACGCGCAGAGAGTTTAGGGTTTAGGGCCCAAGGTAGAGCCAAGCGCTAACACGACATCTGTACTTGTCGCCTGTCGCTTGTATTCTCGCATTTCTTTGAGAACTGGTAGCATGAAGCGTGTCTTTGGCTGGTGTTTCGGATACTAGTCCCAGCTTTAGTGTTGCCTGTACCTTGAACAGTATACTTCAAATGAAGTCATTGGAACCCTCGATGATTAATGCTGTCAATGCTGACGAGGATATGGATGAGGATGCGAAAGATGATTATGATTGATGGTGACAACGGCAACAGTGATGCGGATACTGAAGACGTTTCTGATCGTGGCCATTGCTATCTATAGGGCAAGTAGTAGTGCCAATAGTCGCACTGGTAGAAAATCATGTTGGGTGTGTGTGGCAATGTTTTGCAGCTTCCCTTGGAAAACACACAACACACAACTGCTCAGCTCGTACCCAAACAAATGTTGATGGTTTATCTAACTATCTGACGGTTGTCCACCTATTTATCTGTCTGCCTGGCTGGCATTTAAGCTGTCTACATCTACATCTTGAGTTATTTCCATATTTTGCATTTACTTGTGTATTGCTTCGTTTACTCATGTATTCAACCGATTGGCCCTTGTATGTGAATGAGGCTATTCAATCATTTGTAAATCGGCGAGTAAACTGTCCTGTTTCCACTTATGTATGGATCTATGTGCCTATGCGAAATGCACTTTCGCACAGAAGGCCATGGATGTTTCCACTGCTCTTGTCCCACACCCTTCGGCCTTCGGCTCGCTCGACTTGCATGCTCCCCTCTCCTCTCTCTCTTTCTCTCTCCCCGTCCGCTCTTTGTCGACATGTGGAATGCAGCACAGGAGTGCTGGCTGCCAATTCCTCATGGCTTGTATGCTGCCTCAACTTCTCTTCCCTGACGCTGGCTTTTGGCTGTGCGCAGATCCCCGATGTAAGCGGTCCCAGCCATGACGGCGAGCGAGCATTGCCAAACTGCGAGTTGGCACAAATGACCAAGAGCTGCAGACAACGGCGTTGAGTTGCCATGGACATTTGGACGAAAAACCTCAGCAAAGACTTCGAGCGGACAGAGCCCTACGTCCCGGAGCTACTCAGTGTGAGACCGAAAGTCTTGCGGATCAGCAACATGTTCACGCACAAGGCTTGGCTATCTCGCATGCTCTTCCAGCTTCTACTGCATGATTCTCGTGTAGAGTCCTCCTCCTCGGGCTTTCACCGTATTAAGACTGGGAGGGTCATGGTGCGAGCTGCTGCCCCAGTGACTCAAAGCTCGTCTGTGGCCAGGAGTGTGCTTTGCTGCGTTGGCTCATGCACGGGGCCCTAGCATGGCGCTGACAAAGCTGCAGTGTTTCCTCGAACCGTCACCATATCTCGTTGTTCATCCGCTGTCGTGGGCTGCATTGTTCTTGTCGTCGTCGTCGTCACATGTATTAGTGGTGGTCGTCGCCGTGAGGAAAGCATCATGCCGAGAAGACAGAGAATGAGCGCACACAGCTGCGATACTACTGTAGCATTACTGCCGTTCACCACAGCATCATCGGTAGTAGATGTTTCTCGCGATGAGGCTGGAGGCGCTTATCTACTTCGGTGACAGCTCCGAGATGGTCACAACACGGCCGGGTCCACACCATGTCGAACATCCAGCTGCAAATTTGTGTTAAGACTGGAATCGGTTCTAGCCCTGAGGCTAAACGCTATACAAGCTCGCAGCCGTAAACTCTGAGGACTTTTTGGGATTCCGCTTTCTTTTCTCCGGGTCCATAGTTGCACACCCTAACCTAAAGCCGACAAACCACAACAACTCCTCAGAACCCAACAATAGCCCAACAGCGACACCGCATGTGGGGGTGCCGCTACACGAGATTCTGTCGCACAGTCGTCAGGGTCAACAGGCTTGGTCAGTATTGCACAGGGAGCAAAAAGATGAGGAGCATCTTGCCTTGCCTGGCGGTTGTAGGAAAATCGTGGCAACAAGAATGCCTGGGTCGCCTCATGCGAGCCGCGTAGATCCTAACCATCACCTGAACTAAGTTCTTCGACTTGAAAGAGCAATCCCTAAAAGTTCAAGGCAGAACATACATAAATCAAAAGTGCCATTCAACGGAAGAGTGAGGAAGCCTGAAGCCGTCAGGCCAGGATCTGTCAACTCCTCTTCTGGCTTTGGTGGCTCGGCAGTGGCTTCGGCAATCAGGGTTCTATAAGGGTTTGGGGGTTGGCGGTTTGGGGCTCAAGGGAGAACAGCATGTATGTACATATATATATATACATATAGTATATGTGTGTATATATATACATGTATGCTCACCCGCCCCCGGCGACAGACCATCGCGTGGAAAATACAAACGCGGCTAAATTCAAACAAGCTTACGGGTACTCTCAGTGGGTTGATTTTTTCAGTTTATATCTCGAGCCTATCGTTGTGTCAATAGGTTTTTCAACCTTGGCTTGTTTAAGACCCGCAGCTTGCACTGAACCTCATTGGAGAATTCCAGCATCCATTTGGGAAGTCTTTATGTGAGATAGTTGCCAAGCATTTACTGATGAATTCTCGCGATTGTCTTGTACAAGTCCAGTCATCTCTGCATAATGATGTCACTTTGGGAAGACATGTTCAGTGATTGTTTTAGTCTCGTAAAAAGCATGGAGCTTTCCTTTTTGTCCGCGATTGAATTGAAGCCTTCACTGTGGGAAAACTCGAACTAATCGAAAATTGCTAGATCATGCCTGTACACTTAAAGCAGCATTCCGAAAAACTGCAAACCCAAGATGCTGGCTTGAGTTACGCGCTGCGTAACAGAAATATGTAAGACATCGACTTATGTGTGCTTCGTGTTTCCCCTAATTGTTGTGTCTTCTTGCTTGTATGGCTTGAACAGGTGCTGACAGTATAGACCTCTGCTCAGTACAATAGCAGGAGTACACGATGCAATTGTAGCATACATGGCTATTAAATGTAGGTTTAAGATTTTTACAGTGATTTTACACAAAAGACAACACCCAGTTCGACCAACGAAGGAATGGACATGACGTACAGGAACTCATGGACAGACTTCCGATGAACTAATCTCAGAACTAGCATGCATAGAATAGTTGGTATAGGGACAAGATATCAAGAACCAACCTGCCGAGTACAAAATTTAACAAGCAGCCTTCCGAAATGTTTTGTATTTTCATCAATACCAATCCTCCAGCTTCATTGTATTACTGGACACAAGTGTTAAAATTCAGGGACTAAGATTTGGTAGATACATACTAATCAGACCGTGAATAAACACATGATTCAACAAGTGATACCTGCAATTATATTAGTGGTCACGGACTGCTACGGATAGCTGCTATTGAAAATTGCCGAGATTTACTGTTCATTTGAAGCTTTAATGTACGGGTTTTAAGATTACAGCTATACCGGCATTTATCTGGCAATACGGCTTGGTGTTGCATATACGATTGTATGAGTAGTGAAGTACTGGACCAATGGTAAGTTAATGATAAAAGACTGCAAAACAAATTACAGTAAATGAACAATATTGGAGATGATGGTGCGTGAAGAAGTGGAAGCTCAAAAAAGTGTCTCTGTGAAAAAGCGTTAGGGACAGCTGATTAGACGTAACCACTACTCACCTAGATACAGAATCTGCCCGACAAGGTTAGGAATTACGGACGAAACGAGCTATACAGACTACGATATGGTTTATTCTAACTATATGGTTGATGACTGATACTTCTGCGAGATCAGTTGTCACTCACGACTATTAGTCTAGTACCAGAGTATTGTATTCAATAACAGAAGGAAGTCAACTATATAGACGCTTTGCTATAGGGTTTAAAGTTTAGGGCTTTGGTATGGGGATCTCCGGCAAGAGCGCAGGCGCACAGCACCAAAGATGAAGGACGAGACTAGAAATTCAAGAACCAAAGATGCAGAGAGAATGCCGGAACTGTTTTGTTTTTTGGTTCTTTTTTGGTTTGACAGGATTGTGTTATGCAGTGCCTATTACCACGTAGTAGTCGGAACACCAAAACCAATCGACCAAACAAAAAAAAATCAAAACAGTACGGGCATTCGCTCTGGATCTTTGGTTTTGTGGTCTCAGGCTCGGGGTTTGAGGGTGCACGAATATAGACCAACAGCGACACCCACATATAAATGCAGTTCCGGCATCCTCTGCGGATCTTTGTTGTTTTTGTGGGGTTGGGTTTTAGGTTGAGTGGTTAAGGACAGCCGAAAGCGGGGCTTCAACCCGCGAAAAACACCGTAATCGCCGGTGAAAGCGGAGTTTTAAAGGGGGTGGTCTGTCATGGGGGGGGGCCATCTACACATGCACATACATACATACATGCATGCATACATACATACATATATACGCATGTATGTTAGTTGTTGCTCAAAAAAAGTTGCAGCGGACTATAAGTCCTTTCATATTAGCCCGCGCAAAATCTAAACCTGAATTCCTTCTTGACACACCTATGAAAACGCGAGCGTAAATGCTGTCGGAGAGCATCTCTTCTGGGATCCGGGTGATATTCCACTACGTGTGAGAAGTGCAGTTGCCACATTCGACCCCCAGTCACGATCGCATCCCTTCTAACCGTTCACAAACTCCACACCATCAAGGCTTCGACTCTTTCCCGAAACTAGACATCCCTTCTTTCAGCCGGCTGTGAGGAAACTTGGGCAAGAGGCCACTGAAACCTGGCCTCTGGTTAGCCTGAAGGGTTGTGAGGAAGGGGCTACTTGGGCCTGTCGTACAGGTGTCTTCTACAGCTCTAAAGGTTAGGATTTGTGTGGGCTGGGTTTTCGGTTAGGACCTTCGACATTTTCCGGTTGCCGGGAGCCTTCCATAGGTCGTGGGAACGCGAAAGACAGTTAGAAAGAGCAACAACAGCGAGAGCCACGCCCGTACCACCACTACCACTACCACCGCCATCAGCAGCAAACGACATGCAAGAAGAAGTCGCAGAAGGTTACCTTCGCAACAAAGGCCAGAACACTGCTTGCTGAAATGATGATAGTACCTGGTGGTATCCATAATAGCAGCGCTCCTGCGGACACCCCGGATGCACAGCCCAAAACCGTTGAACAAAGTTCAGTCCACATGTCGCTTTCCACCATTGGCCGAGGATGCGAATGCAAGATCCAGATCAGCTGTCTTTCTATTTTCAGGAGACGAAGAAGTATTTGGGGGTATGCTTTGGGGAAGGACCACAAGCTTTCAGGATCCATCGCTGGGGGCTTCAGGGCTAGGTGCTGCCTTTCGGCCGGGAGGCCGGGAGCTGCCGGCTAAGTAGTACGGGTACGCAATGTTTGACGGAAAGCGGTTTAGCCCCTTGGTACTGTTCCATATAGTCAGATAGTCACGCTAACCCCATCCCGACCTTCGCGATGGTTTTAAAGCAAGAGGCTTCTCTACACAGTTCTTGAGACCTGCAGCCGTTCATAAGCAGATGGCAGAGGTGCAGTGGAAGCACCGGTTTATGGTTTTGCGGCGTCGGGTCTGGTTGTCAAATCCGCATAGACGTCCCTCAAAGGGAAGCCCACCCTTCGGTCCAGTGGAGAAACCATTGTAACAGCTTGTAACTATTGCTCAGCTATTACTTGAAGACGCTCAGAACCAGAAAGTTTAAAGTGTTTCTTCCCAGGAGCCCCCAGACTTTATGATCGCGATGATGCAGAGAGCCTTTTTCGGAATGTACAAGTGTGATGATGCCTTTGCACAAATGCGTGGAAGGAGAACTGCACTGCCTTGCTCGCTTGCGATTTCTTGTTCAAGTCAACTTGTATAGTCGTCGTCCCTGTGGAAAGATCAGAAGTCCACAGAGTTCATAATGCTTCATGCTTCTGATCTGTAGGTGCAGTAGAGACTGCCTAGGAGTGGGTGCAATGGTCGGCGTACATCCCAACAATGTGGAGGCAGCACGAGCACTGACGGGGGCCTTGGACATGTAAGAGTGCTACAGAACACCTGAATCGACGGCTCATGGCTTCCGGTTTAGGGTGTAGGGCTCGGTATTAAGGGGGAACAAATCTTCCAACCCCTGAAGGCTATATACCACCTCTACAAGCCCAATGCAGAGCTGGCGAATCTCCACTTGGATAACTTCAACAAATATTTGTGGCCCCATCGCTTTATGTCCGCCTCACTGTTCCTGGATGACTACGAGGACGGAGGCCCTTGCGGTTTGTTCCACTCAGGTTGATGGTCTAGCTGTCACGCATTCTATCCATATAAATATATATATATATACACATCATATACATATACATATACATATACATATACATATACATATACATATACATATACATATATATGTATATATATATATGTATACGTATATATATATATGTATGTATGTATATGCATACATATGATACGGGCTGCTGCGAGCTTATCTGAGCAGAGCAGCTGCCTGGCACAAGCCGTTTGGGCGCAGTCCCTGCATGTGCAGCGCTTGCGCTCCGCAACTTCAATTCGCCCCTAGAGGCACAACGACCGGCACCGAGGGCGATGTAGGCTTTCAGCATGTATCTCAGGTGACGTGAAAACCCCTGAAGTCTGAAGCCTGGACTGCTTTAGATCGTGAGAACCTGATCCAACCTCCCACACCGTACAACCGGCAAGGTGGAGTTTGACTCCGCAAGCCTACTCTGTTTGCAAACCTTGTTCTCCAAGTCCCGTACTGAGAAAGCAGAAACAACTGCGTCACCTAAGTCTTGAAGAGGCACGGTCTTTCCGCTGTTTCTGGATACCATCAGACCGGCTCTTGGTTTTGCTCGGGCACGGCTTTAGATTGAGAGTTCCTTAGGAACCATTTGTTCAATTCTTGTTTTAATAAAGGCCCAACTGGATACTCCACGCATTACTTCTTTGGGTTGCCAGTGTGTTCATTACACTGTTCTGTGGAGTGCTGCGGTATCTTACACTGTTCTAGGTCTCGGGGCTTACATTGCCTTGTCAGCGGGCATGAGCAAGCGATCAGATCACTTGGTTTTTGGGCCGCAGACTGCTTCGTTCTAGAGTTTGGTGCGGAGCTTCAGGGGAGTTTGGGTTTTCGCCGCTTTGTTTCTTCACACACGTCTGACGAGACTCCTCCTTACAAGATTTGGCCCTTGACCCTGAACCCCGAAACCGACACCCCGCCACGCTGAAAAAAAAGGCGCACAATCCATCCAAACCTGACCAGCATTTGGGATGGAAGATGCGTTTGATTTCTCTCGCTTGCCAAGGCGGGGACGGTGTGGTTGGGGTCTCCAGCGTTGCACAGGAGCATGACGAGGCCTGGCCTTGTAAAAATTGACACCATGACCCATAACGTTGATAGCGGGTAGTTCCAAGGAACCAAAGCTGCACAAGCCATGCAGCCTCTAGCCCCAGGGTCGGAGGCAGAGGGCTAATCCATTCCCAGAAAATGAAGTAAAGACATTGTCAGGATGCGGACTCTCCCCAACAACATTTCTGCGCCGGCCACTCTTACTTCGGTCAGTCGAGATGTCCAAACTAAAGGGCAGAGTTGGCTTTCTTGAAAGCTAAACCAAGAAGCACTTAGCCCTAAACAGAGTTCTGAATCCCTGGACCTTTAGGCTTTGAGCGTCTACTGCGACCAAAGCCACACCGTGCAGTTAGATCGCATGTTAACCGAACACTACGCAACACGACTAATCAACGGATCTACAAATCCGAGAACGCCCTAAACTTGAAAGGCCTTCAGCACTCTATAGCCTACTAGGCCCTAAATTCCAAGCCGATAGAAGCGATGGCACAGGTCAGAGCCTGGCAGAGGGCCTTGAATGACGCTCCCATGCACAGTGCGCCTTTTTCCGCATTCGGACATTCATCGGGTTTTCGGATGGTATCTTCGGGCTAGGTTGTATGCAGTTCGCGACTTCGATGATTAGGGCTTCGGCAAACGTCGATACCTCAAGTACCAGTCAGGGTTCATGAACAAAACCCGTTATGCCCGGACGGCGGCAAAAAGCCTGCACCCAAACCAGCCTGACGACAGCCACCAGGCTGGAATCCCAGCTCCAATTCGTACTGTAGCTGACTTTCGGAGGTTCAAAACCCTCCACTCCACCCCCGCCCCCAACACAGTATCAAGAGCCTTCATTCGAACCCGAACTGGCACGGCCACCCTCGACCTCGCACAGACCCGTGGTGGTAGTGGTGGTGGTAGTAGTAGTAGTAGTAGTAGCAGCCGTAGTCGCAGCCGTAGTCGTAGTCGTAGTCGTCGTCGTAGTACTGGCAGTAGTAGTCGTCGTCGTAGTAGTAGTAGTAGGAGGAGGAGGAGGCGATCCTGCCAAGCATCTCTCCTAGACACTGCTTAAGCGCACATCGATTTTTTCTACATGGAACCCAGTCCCAAGCAAGTATGACAATGACACGTTAAAAAAATGAAAGTGACAGCAGTTTCAGCAGCAACAACAAAAGGAGGAAATAGTAAAACTAATCATGGTAATAATGACAAACAACAATCATAATCGTAATGGCTCGTAATAATGATATAAAAGTGAGCACATTCCAGAACCCAGTCTAGGGCTCCGAGGCTGGTCTTGTTCGGGTCAGGAGTTGCTGCGTTAGGGTTTAGGGTTTAGGGTTTAGGGTTGAGGGTTTAGGGTTGAGGGTTTCTGAGGTTTAGGGTTTAGTCCAAGACACTTGAGGAGGAAGATGGCCTCCTGCCACATCTTTCCTTCGCTCGACAGATGCGTCGACGGGATCGAACGGATCAAACACACAACCCTCGGTTGTGCTTACGACTTGGGCTCTTCGTACTTGCCCTATCTTTTTTTGGAGTCTTAGACTCCAGTTCGCAAGCAGGTTCCTAGATTAGTCTGGTCTGGGGCTGTAGCTTGTAGTAATAATAGTGGATAGCACGAATTTCATTATGATGACAATAGTAACAATCATAGTACATAGTACTACGAAACCTTATCGCAATAGTCATCCTAGTGGATTTGGGTAGTTCTCTAAAAGTAGGTTCCCTTTTCGGGTCTCCAATTTAAAAAGGACCCTAAAAGGGACCCTAGTTTAGAGAACTACCCTTTTGAGAGTGTAGAGTTTCGGCTTGGTAGAGGGAGGCTCCGGCTTTTTGTTCGGCCCAGCTCGCAGCCTCCAAAGGCAACAAACGACGGCCAGTCATAGCGGCACTACCCGGATCTTCCCCCTTTCCCTTAAATGAGGGATATACACCTTACAGATTCTGGTAGGAACCGTAGTATGAGGTTTTTGGTTTCTGCCTTAATTAAGGACCCTAAACCCTGAACCAAGGGGTTTTGGAGTCTCTGGGTACTACGCAGTTGAGAGAGAGGACACCCAGGAGGCGTTTTTGCTGGCCGGGGCTGTACTCTAAGACTCCATCCTCAAAGACCTGAACCCTGCATACCCATAGGCCCCTAAGTAGCTCCTTTAGAATTACCTTATAGGATTCGACATATAAACCAATAAAAAGGGAACTACTTAGGGGCCTATGGGTAAGCCCCAAACCTCACATGGATATCCAAGCTGTATGCAGCGATGGAACCTCCCCTGCATGCAGGATTAAAAAATTCGGGAAAACCTTGGCCATGGACCCAACACGAAAGCTTCCGACATCCTGTCTCGAATGGACGACAACACACCTTCAGGACTCTTGTTGTATTGAGCTTGTTGGATCTTTAGAACTGTAGATTGCTAGGATTTTGCAGGTGCTGTGGACTTCGGGTGTTATATAGGGTGTAGGGTTTAAGTCTTGGCTTGAGTTTTGGGCCTTAGCCTCCCCGGTTTAAGCTTTTAGCTGCTCGCGGTTTGAGGAAGCAGGTGCCGCATAAACCCCTCCACCCTCGACCCTCAACACACTAAGCCAAGAAGTCCGACTTCCAACACCATAGGCCCCAAAGCCCTAAAGTAAGTGCTAACTCAACCCTAGACCCCAAAGCCCTGAAATCCTCAACCCTAAACCTTAAACCCTGCACAAATTTTGACAAAAAGCCCTCATCCCCTCTGCTTTCCAAGGCGCGTTTGCCTCGACCCAGAGCTCGGAGAAGCTTGGTGAAGGCGCTTCGTTGCAGTTGCAGCCGCTCGGGCTCTGCAGCAATCACTGAGACCTCGGGTTTAGGGTTCAGGGGTTTAGGGGGGTTTAGGGGGGTTTGGGGCTGAGAGGGGGCTTAGGGGGGTTTAGAGCTTATAGGGGGGTTAGGAATTTAGGGGGTTTAGGGGGTTAGGGTTTAGGGGTTAGGAATTTAGGGGTTTAGGGGTTTAAGGGTTTAAGGGTTTAAGGCTTAGGAGGTTTTTAAGGGTTACGGGTTAGGATTTAGGGTTTAGGGGTTTAGGGCTTCGGGGGTTCGGGTTTTAGGGGTTCGGAATTTAAGGTTTAGGGGTTTAGGGGGTTAGGGTTTTAGAGTTTAGGGGTTCGGGGTTTAGGGACGGCCATTCCTCAACCCTCCGATGTCGCTGAGGTCCGGTTAGATTCGGGTTTTAGCTTTAAGCCCAATGCCATACAGGCTTAACAGGCAAATTTAGTGTGCAGGGATGAGCCCCCGGACTTGGGGCATCACGGGATGCAAGTGACAAGTCACAAGCAAACTAAAGTTAGGCTCGGATTGAGCTTAAAAGGGACCCTAATTTACAGAACTGCCCAGTTGGACCTCGGGGTTCAAAACCCTGCAGAACCCCACACGACCCTGCATGATCTAGCGGCCTGAATGATTAGAATAGGGCTTTGGGCTCATTTATGGTATACCCATAGGTTCCATAGTAGTTCCTTTTTTGTGGTTTACTTCTGGAATCCTAAACGGGTACTTATCACAACAACGAAGCCGAAGCTTCCGCCCTCTGCAGCAACTCTTCAGACAGAGCCGCCAGTTCGAGGAGGCGCTCCGCTCGCAGCGCCGCAGGCAAGCGCAGGATTTCGCCGAGCTGACAGCAGAGTTTAGGGTCTTCCCATAGGCCCAAAGTAGTTCCTTTTTAGGGGTACTATTTAGAATCCTATAAGGTAATCCCAAAAAGGAACTACTTAGGGGCCTATGGGTAGGGTTTCGGGTAGGAGTCGTTCTGTGAGTACTTGTGGGTTACTGCGGGGTTCTGTAAGGTTCCAAAGGGTTTAGAGATTGAGGTGTAGCGTCTAGGGTTTATTTTAGGGCTGTATGAGATTATACCCTAAACCATAAGCCCAGTTTTGCAGCAAAACTGTTTTAATGTTGAGACGGTCAAAGGGACAAAGCTTGTCCAGGGCGGCGATAAGCACCGAACGTGACGTGCTTGGCGGCATTCCGCTCCAGTCAGGTAAACCTGAAAGTGCTTCCCGTCGACGAATGCGTGCAAGTTGCTAAGCTACCACCGCTTGGATTTGCCGCGGTACTTCTTCGCGAAGGCATACCGGTCGCAGATATCCGCAGACGTCAGCACAGGCTTCTCACGAAGCTTGCGAAAGTAAATGTTCCGCCTGTGCAAGGCACGCAAGATGCATTGCGTGTTTGCCTTGCATTTTGTCGGACGGGATCACACGTTGCGACCTGGGCATGTGGCGACAAGGGACTAGCATGGATGCGCTCCAGAGACCCTATCAAACTCTCCAGGGCCCTGATACAGGGTTTAGGGTTTGGGTCCTTTCGGGCTTCTTGTAGTACAGGTAAAGGGGATAGGGTTGCGGAAAACTCAGACATCTATACTACGGCCCAGCACTCGTATTCCAATGGATCCGGAAGTTTGACAGACATGGCACTCAAAGACTAGCTAGCTTGTGACCTACATTACGCCCGAACTCTCTTCTTCCAATGGCCCCGGATGTGCCAAAGACATGGCGGTAAAAGAATAGATGGCTTCTGAATGACTCATATCTCTCGGCCTTGAAACTTGTGCGAAAAATTCCCGTCTCAGAAAGCAAAAAACCGGCTGAAGGGCGAACCCGTGAAGGTTTGGGGTTCCGGATTTTCTGACCATGTTAAGGGTTTTGGGGTTTGGGGTATGGGGTTTGGGGTATAGGGTTGAGGGCTTAGGGTGTAGGGTCTAGGGTGTAGGGTTTAGGGCTTTCTTGAAGGTGTCGGAAGGCTCCCAGCGGGTTAAGGGCTTGGGGTCTGATACCGTCAGCTGCGTCATAGCTAAGTATGGGAGAAACAGAGAGGGAACCTGATGGCAACGGTCGTCATCATAACGAACACAGCGAGGATAACAGTACAGGTTGAGTACAGAAAGAATCGCAAAATTCAAGGTACCTCAATCGCTAGGAGCCCCCGCTATCACCACGACGACCACCCCCACAAGCATCAGTACCACCTCGCCTCAGACGAGCTTTCATGACCCCCATCCCTCCAACACGAGTACTGGCCATAAGAGGTCGTCCTGCTCCTCCTCCTCCTCCTCCTCCCTCATCACCGCCAACAATCGTCGCCTTCCTCACCATCACCAACATCTTTATCGTCATCATCCTTGTCGTTCAATTCATGTGTGAGCAGGAACCCTAAACCCCTAAACGCTATTAA